TCTGTAACAAATACAAACACATGGAGGCTAAACAATACACTACTAAATAACCAAGAGATTACTGAAGAAATCAAAGAGGAAATCAAAAAATACCTAGAAACACATGACAATGAAAACACGACAACCCAAAACCTATGGGATGCAGCAAAAGCAGTTCTAAGAGAGAAGTTAATAGCAATACAATACTACCTCAAGAAACAAGAAACATCTCAAATAAACAACCTAACCTTACAGCTAAAGCAATTAGAGAAAGAACAATAATAAAGCCCCAAAGTTAGCAGAAGGAAAGAAATCATAAAGATCAGATCAGAGAGAAATGAAGGAAACAATAGCAAAGATCAATAAAACTAAAAGCTGGTTCTTTGAGAAGATGAACAAAATTGATAAACCATTAGCCACACTCATCAAGAAAAAAAGGGAAAAGACTCAAATCAATAGAACTAGAAAATAAAAAGAAATAACAACTGACACTGCAGAAATACAAAGGGTCATGAGAGATTACAACAAGCAACTATATGCCAATAAAATGGACGACCTGGAAGAAATGGACAAATTCTTAGAAGAACACAATCTTCCAAGACTGAACCAGGAAGAAAGAGAAAATATAAACAGACCAATCACAAGAACTGAAACTGAGACTGTGATTAAAAATCTTCTAGCAAACAAAAGCCCAGGAGCAGATGGCTTCACAGGCAAATTCTATCAAACATTTAGAGAAGACCTAATACCCATCCTTCTCAAACTCTTCCAAAATATACCAGAGGTAGGAACACTCCCAAACTCATTCTACAAGGCCACCATCACCCTGATACCAAAACCAGAAAAAGATGTCACAAAGAAAGAAAACTACAGGCCAATATCACTGATGAACACAGATGCAAAAATCCTCCACAAAATACGAGCAAACAGAATTCAACAGCACATTAAAAGGATCATACACCATGAACAAGTGGGCTTTATCCCAGGAATGCAAGGATTCTTCAATATACACAAATCAATCAATGTGATACACCATATTAACAAACTGAAGGAGAAAAAGCATATGATCATCTCAATAGATGCAGAGAAAGTTTTGACAAAATTAACACCCATTTATGATAAAAACCCTGAAGAAAGTAGGCATACAGGGAACTTTCCTCAATATTATAAAGGGCATATATGACAAACCCACAGCCAACATCGTCCTCAATGGTGAAAAACTGAAACCATTTCCTCTAAGATCGGGAACAAGACAAGGCTTCCCACGCTCACCACTAGTATTCAACATAGTTTTGGAAGTTTTAGTCACAGCAATCAGAAAAGAAAAAGAAATAAAAGGAATCCAAATTGGAAAAGAAGAAGTAAAGCTTTCACTGTTTGCAGATGACATGATACTATACATAGAGAATCCTAAAGATGCTACCAGAAAACAACTAGAGCTAATCAATGAATTTGGTAAAGTAGCAGGATACAAAATTAATGCACAGAAATCTCTTGCATTCCTATGCACTAGTGATGAAAAATCTGAAAGAGAAATTAGGAAAACACTCCCATTTACCACTGCAACAAAAAGAATAAAATATCTAGGAATAAACCTACCTGAGGAGACAAAAGACCTGTATGCAGAAAATTATAAGACACTGATCTAAGAAATTAAAGATGATGCAAACAGATGGAGAGATACACCATGTTCTTGGATTGGAAGAATCAACTGTGTGAAAATGACTATACTACCCAAAGCAATCTACAGATTCAATGCAATCTCTATCAAACTACGTATGGCATTTTCCACATAACTAGATCAAAATATTTCACAATTTGTTTGGAAACACAAAAGACCTCGAATAGCCAAAGCAATCTTGAGAAAGAAAAACGGAGCTGGAGGAATCAGGCTCCCTGACTTCAGACTATACTACAAAGCTACAGTAATCAAGACAGTATGGTACTGACACAAAAACAGAAATATAGATCAATGGAATAGGATAGAAAGCCCAGAGATAAACCCATGCACATATGGTCACCTGATTTTTGATAAAGGAGGCAGGAATGGACAGTGGAGAAAAGACAGCCCCTTCAATAAGTGGTGCCGGGAAAACTGGACAGCTACATGTAATAGAATGAAATTAGAACATGCCCTAGTGCCATACACAAAAATAAACTCAAAATGGATTGAAGACCTAAATTTAAGGCCAGACACTATCAAACTCTTAGAGGAAAACATAGGCAGAACACTCTATGACATACATCACAGCAAGATCCTTTTTGACCCACCTCCTAGAGAAATGGAAATAAAAGTACAAATAAACAAATGGGACCTAATGAAAATTAAAAGCTTTTGCACAGCAAAGGAAACCAGAAACAAGACAAAAAGACAACCCTCAGAATGGGAGAAAGTATTTGCAAATGAATCAATAGACAAAGGATTCATCTCCAACATTTATAAGCAGCTCATGCAGCTCAATATCAAAAAAACAAATAACCCAATCCAAAAATGGGCAGAAGACCTAAACAGACATTTCTCCAAAGAAGATATACAGATTGCCAGCAGACACATAAAAGGATGCTCAACATCACTAGTCATTAGAGAAATGCAAATCAAAACTACAATGAGGTATCACCTCACACCGGTCAGAATGGCCATCATCAAAAAATCTACAAACAATAAATGCTGGAGAGGGTGTGGAGAAAAGGGAACCCTCTTGCACTGTTGGTGGGAATGTAAATTGATACAGCCACTATGGAGAAAAGTATGGAGGTTCCTTAAAAAACTAAAAATAGAACTACCATACGACCCAGCAATCCCACTACTGGGAATATACCCTGAGAAAACCATAATTCAGAAAGAGTCAGGGACCACAATGTTCATTGCAGCTCTATTTACAATAGCCAGGACATGGAAGCAACCTAAGTGTCCACTGACAGATGAATGGATAAAGAAGATGTGGTACATATATTTAATGGAATATTACTCAGCCATAAAAAGAAATGAAATTGAGTTATTTGTAGTGAGGTGGATGGACCTAGCGTTTGTCATACAGAGTGAAGTGAGTCCCAAAGAGAAAAACAAATACCATAAGCTAACACATATATATGGAATCTAAGAAAAATAAAATAAAAATGGTTCTGAAGAACCTAAGGGGAGGACAGAAATAAAGATGCAGACGTAGAGAATGGACTTGAGGGCTTGGGGAGGGGGAAGGGTAAGCTGGGACGAAGTGAGAGAGTAGCATTGACATATATATACACTACCAAATGTAAAATAGATAGCTAGTGGGAAGCAGCCACATAGCACAGGGACATCAGCTCCATACTTTGTGGCCACCTAGAGGGGTGCGATAGTGAGGGTGGGAGGGAGACGCAACAGGGAGGAGATGTGGGGATATATGTATATGTATAGCTGATTCACTTTGTTATAAAGCAGAAACTAACACACCATTGTAAAGCAATTATACTCCAATAAAGATGTTAAAAGAAAAAGATTTTTACAAAGAGGCAAAAACAAAAGTAATTATTATATGAATATTCTGAGCAGCAGAAGGAAAATGACATTAGAGAAATCTAGGTATATAATATAAATTATGCATACTTTCCTCGATGCTATATCAAATAGATTCAAGTATTGTATCATTTGTGTTCTAAAAAAATTACAAGTACTTAAAGGATGGGCTTCCCTGGTGGCGCAGTGGTTGAGAGTCCGCCTGCCAATGCAGGGGTCACGGGTTCATGCCCCGGTTCAGGGGGATCCCACGTGCCGCGGAGCAGCTGGGCCCGTGAGCCACGGCCGCTGAGCCTGCGCGTCCGGAGCCTGTGCTCCGCAGCGGGAGAGGCCACAACAGTGAGAGGCCCGCATACCGCAAAAAAAAAAAAAAAAAGTACTTAAAGGCTAATGGTATTCATATTAACACTATATTCGGAATTAAATGTCTTTGTGTTTTTTGCTTTGATTTAAAAAAATGTAAGAGGTGTTATGAGCAACCCAAAGAAAAGAAAACTAAATACTAAAATCTCCCTGTAAAAATAGAGTACTAAAAACCATGAGAAGTTTATAACATTGTAATTCCACTTTTGACAAATGAAGGATTTTCACGGCATTTCCATGGCAGCCACAAGGGGGAAGCCCAGCCACTCAACACTGGCTAGGATGCAGAAATACAAGGAAAAGTACCTGTGCACTGTGCTTTTCTGACACCCTTAGTGTCATATCACGTGCTTGATCAGAACCTATAGCTGGAATGCAGATAATGTAACTACAACTGATACCTCCTGTTCAAAAAAACTGGAGAAGGTTTATCTAGAATCTCTGAAATCTGCAGAAATATTTTCTTTTTCTTCTCTGATCATTTACTCCACTTCTTTCTAGTTTGGGGCGGGACCCAGTATTTTCAGTATTAATAACAACAACAACAACAAAGAGCTTGGTCAAATGAATCTGCTAAATATTGATAGAAGTATACCTCAAATGCTTAATAAATTATAATCTGGGATTGTGCTAAATCTATCCAGATTAATAAAACGATTAAATATGGTTATATCAATGATCTCCAGCCATAATAAAGGGACAGTCCTCCACTTCCACTTGTTAAATTTGTCAACATCTCCACCTATATCTGCACTAAAATTAAGTGAACTTAAATTAATACTCGAGCTTGTTTATAACACTCCCTGGTACCAACACTGGTAGAGTTACATAGAAGTCACGATTTGGAAATGACTGATATTCACAGGAAAAGCACCTAAGGCAAGAATTCAATGAACCAGGACTCCTCAGTGACCTGAAGTATAGTCTACTTAGATCTCAAATGAAGACTATCTCTAAATTAGAGATAAAGAGGGAGGGAGGGGGAGAGGAAGGGAAGGACATAGGGAAGGAAGGAGGGAAGGAATGTCCCATTGTCCCAAGACCATTTGTGATTTACTTCTACGTTCTTATCACCGTTATACAGTACACACTCCAGATATGATTAATGCCTGAATACATGAATAAATGAATGTCTAAATCAAACAACAGAATAAACTATTACCTTTAGCTGGACGAATGGAAAATGCCATCCCTTTTCCTGTATTTATCAGTTGCCATTCAAATTTGACAAGATAATTCTGATGATTATACAACCTAACCATCCCCCTAAAACATGTTTTCACCAAGAAGCCTTGTGGTCTCAGTACTAGCTCATTAGCAGATAGCTCAAGTTTTACTGGCAAGACAACTGCCATCACTAGGATGTGCCCACCAGGCATACTGTTCACTGACAGGTGAAAGACCTGTAACACAGCAAAGGCATCCAAATTTAACTAACACCTCTTAACTGAATGGTAGAATTCAGTTACATGTAAAATGTATATATTATTGATTGACATCAACAATTCTTAGTAAACAATATCAAAATAATTATGAAAGGTAATTAGACTACCATTGAAATATGAATCTACAAATCTACAAATTGCTGCACATATAGTTTCTATGTTTGGGGACCAAACATAATATATACTACAATAATTGGGGTAAATATACAAAACGACATTTTGATTCTAGCAAACAGAAATTTGAAAATAAATCTTACTTCCAAAATTTTCCAATGGTGGGAGATTCAAATATCATTGAAACAGAAGTACTAGCTGTAGGTGGAATCACATATGAAAATTGGTTGGTTTTCCGAAGTTCTTGCAAATTGACATCTAACTGGATCAAAATATGAATAGGTAGCATATTAATAACATGTAGTAGACGAGTATTTGTTGAGTTCACACAAACATCACCAAAGTTAAGGACAGAGAGCCCTGAAAAAATGAACAGTTACTAAGCTTAATGTTGACAAATGTGTTCATTGACTTATTTAAGTTTTCATACTATATGCTGATCGATTAATTCGTTAAAAATAGTACTTAAAATAGTTACTATATATCAGAAATTATTAACAGAGCTTTTTATCTAAATGTCCATAATTTGAGGTGATTGGCCAAAATTCAATACATATTGTGATTATATGGAAAATTTCATGACAAAATTATTAGCACTAATTATAACTCAGTACATGAATTTGCATACTCCTACACCCTCTCCACTCCCATAAATGCATTTATGTTCACTTATCCAGAACTTACAGAAATTGGTAACTTCCCATGACTCACTGTTTAAATTTTCCCCTTTAAATGCCAGAAGTTTTTATATCATAACAATCTTAATTATGTCTTATCCTGCTTTTTTAACAGCTTAATTTAATTTTAACTGGTATACAGCAAACTGTACATGTTTAAAGTACAGAATTTCATAAGCATTGACATACGTATACACCTGAATACAGGTGAAATACCTGAAACGATCACCGCAATGAAGAGAGTGAACATCCATCACTCCAAAAAATATACTTGGCCCCTTTATAGTTTCTCCCTACCACCATCCTCTGTATTCCCCCTTTCCAGACAACCACTCATCTGCTTTATGTCATTATAGATCAGTTTGCATTTTCTAGACTTTAATATGAGTGGAATAATATAGCATGTATGGTTTTTCTCTGATTTCTTTCACTCAGCAAACTCTCTAGAGATCCATTTAAGATGTTTCGTGTGTCAACAGTTCATTCCTTTATATTACTAAGTAGTAGTCTATTATAGGTGAATGTTTATGTATCACCTGTTAACACTTCGATTCTTCCCAGGTATGGCCTGTTAAAATTAAGGATGCTAAAACATTTGCGAACAAGTATTTGTTTGAAAATATGCCCTCATTTCTTTTGGATAAATATCTAGGAGTATAATCGATGGGTAATATGGTACATGTGTGTTTAAATGTTTAAGAAACTGCCAAACTGCTTTAAAGTGGTTGTATAACTTCATATTCCCACTAGCAGTGTACAAGAGTCCCAGTTTCCTCACATCTTCAGCAATAATTGAAATGGTAAGTTTTTCAGCCATTCTAATAGATTTATAGCAGTATCTCATTGTGGTGTTATTTTGTGTTTCCCTTACAATGAACAATGTTGTGCATCTTTCCATGTGCTTATTTGTCATTATATCTTCTATAAGGAAGGAAGCACATGGCTTATGATCTATTTTGATTTAGTTTTGGCACATGATGTAACTAGCACTACTTTTTTTTTTTTTTTTAATCACAGCCATACTAACACGTGACGTGGTATCTCATTGTGGTTTTGATTTACATTTCACTAATGACTAATGATATTGAGCATCTTTTCATGTGCTTACAGAGCATTTTTATGTCTTCTTGGGAGAAATGTCTATTCAAGTCTTGTGCATTTTTAATTGTGTTTCTTGTTGTTGAGTTGTAGGAGTTCTTTATACATCCTGGATATTAATCACTTATCAAATATATTATTTGCAAATACTTTTTCATATTACGAAGGTTGTCTTTTCACTCTATTGATTGTGTTCTTTGATGCACAAAAAAGTTTTTCATTTTGATGAAATCTGGTTTATTTTTTCCTTTGTTGCCTATGCTTTTGGTGTCATATCCAAGAAATCATTGCCAAACCCAATGCCATGAAAAATTTCACCTGTTTTCTTCCAAGAGTTTTATAGTTTTAGCTCTTAAGTTTAGATCTTTGATCCATATTGAGTTAATTTTTGTATATGGTCACATTCGATTTTTGCTTTTTGTTTTTGTTTTTGTTTTTAACGTCTTTATTGTAGTATAATTGCATTACAATGGTGTGTTAGTTTCTGCTTTATAACAAAGTGAATCAGTTATACATATACATATGTTCCCATATCTCTTCCCTCTTGCATCTCCCTCCCTCCCACCCTTCCTATCCCACCTCTGTAGGTGGTCACAAACCACCTACCTGATCTCCCTGTGCTATGCGGCTGCTTCCCACTAGCTATCTATTTTACATTTAGTAGTGTATATATGTCCATGCCACTCTCTCACTTTGTCACAGCTTGCCCTTCCCCCTCCCCATATCCTCAAGTCCATTCTCTAGTAGGTCTGTAGCATTACTTATTGAAAAGACTATGCTTTCTGCACCTTTTTGGACCTCACTGCCTTTTACCTTTGTCAAAATTCATTTGTCCAATATATATAGGTCTATTTCTGAACCTTACTTATGTTTCATTGTTCTATATTTATGCCAATAACATACGGTTTGGTTTACTATAGCTTTAAAATAAATCTTGAAATTAAGCAGTGTTTTATCTCCAACATGTTTTCCTTTTTCAAAACTGTTTTGACTATTCTAATTACATTGCATTTCCACATGAATTTTAAAATGAGCCTGTCAATTTCTACAAAAGATCCTGATGGAATTTTGGTTGGAACTGTGGTGAATCTGTAGATTATATGGATCGTTTTTGCATATCTTCTATGACTCTGCATAACTTTTTTTTTTTACATCTTTATTGGAGTATAATTGCTCTGCATAACTTTTTGAATAAATGGAATACAGGTACAATAACTGTTTTAGTGTCATTGTCTGATAATTCTAACCTATGTATCAGTATTAATCAGATTTAACTGATTAATAATTCTCTTTATTATGGGTTATATTTTCCTGCTTCTTATGTATTGTAATCTTTGTTTGGATGTCAATATAGTAAATTTTACCTCATTAGGTACTGGATATTTTTTCATATTCCTATAATATTCTTGAGCTCTGCTCTGGAAGGAAGTTACCTCAAAACAGACTGGTCCCTCCAGATCTTTCTTTTATGAATGTTACCCGGGTCCAGAGCCGTGCTCTAAATAGTAACAATTATTCTCCACTACTGAGGCAAGAACTTCCTGAGTACTCTGCCTCAATGTCCCATGAAGTATGAGGTTTCAGTACTGGTTGAGGCAAGCAATACAGAGGTGAGCCAGAAATATTAAAACAGAGATACAAGAACAAGACAAAGTGGGTCTAATAAGATCCTATTTATACCTAGAATAACCAAAGCAATCCTGAAAAAGAAGAGCAAGTTTGGAGGACTTGCACTTACTGATTTCAAAACTTACCATAAAGCTACTTATCGACAGTATAGAATTGTCATTGGGATAGAAATACATATCAATGGAACAGAATTAAGAATCCAGAAACAAACCCTGACACATTTGGTCATTTGATTTTCGACAAAGGTGTCAAGGCAATTCAATGAGAAATGATAGTATTTTCAACAAATGGTGCTAGGACCATTGAATATCCATATATTATAATATAAATTTAGACTCAACTCATACCATAAACAAAAATTTTTAAAACATAAAAAGGAATTGTAGGGGCTTCCCTGGTGGCTCAGTGGTTGAGAGTCCGCCTGCCAATGCAGGGGACACGGGTTCGTGCCCCGGTCCGGGAGGATCCCACATGCCGCGGAGCGGCTGTGCCCGTGAGCCATGGCCACTGAGCCTACGCGTCCGGAGCCTGAGCTCTGCAACGGGAGAGGCCACAACAGTGAGAGGTCCGCGTACCACAAAAAAAAAAAAAAAAAAAGGAACTGTAGTCCTAAACATAAGATCTAAAAATATAAACTGTTTAAAAGAAAATAGGAGAAAATATTTGTGACCTTGAGCTAGCTAAAGATTGTTGGGCATGATATCAAAAGCATGATCTATAAAAGTAAAAAATTTAGTAAATTCAATTTCATTTAAATTAAAAAATTCTGTGCTTTAAACAACATTATTAAGAATATGAAAAGGAAAAAAAGCCACAGACTTAGGGAAAATATTTGGAAATCATATATCTGATAAAAAACTTGTACTCAGAATACATAAACAATTCCTACAACTCTATAATGAGAAGGTAAATATTCAAATTAAAAATTGGGCAAAGACATTTCTCCAAGATATACAATTTAAATAGTTGTACCTCTAAGTAAATGCATGAAAATATATTCAACACCTTAGTCAAAAAGGAAATGCAAATCAAAATCACAATGAGAGAACATTTTGCACCCGCTAGGATGGCTGTAATCAAAAAGACAGAAAATAATAATTGCTGGTGAAAATGTGGAGAAACTGTAACCCTCATACACTGTTGGAGGGATTGTAACTTGGTGCAGTCACTGTGGAAAATTTTTGGCAATTTCTTTAAAAGTTAGACACAAACTTACCATATGACTCAGCAATTCTACTCCTAGGAATCTGACCAAAAGAAATAAAAACATATGTCCACTCGAAGAATTATATGTGAGTGTTTATAGCAGCAATATTCACAATAGCCTCAAACTGGAAATAGCTCAATGTCCATCAACTGGTAAATGGATAAACAAAATGTGGTATTCCTAATAAAATGAGATACTATTTAGATACAAAAAGGAACAAAATATTTATACCTACTACCACAAGGATGAACCTTACCATTATGCTAAGCTACAGAAACAATATAAGGGAAACCACATATTATGATTTATTTCACATGAAATGTTCAGAATAGGCAAATCTATAGAGATAGAAAGCTAAATAATGGTTGCCTGGGGCTAGGGCTGGGAATTGGAAGTAACTTGCATATAGACATGAGGGTGATGGCAGCACTGTAAAACTGAATTGTGATGACAGTTGCATAAACCTGTAAATTCACTGAAATTCATTGATTTTCGTGCTTTGACCTGGTGAATTTTATGTAATATAAATTATACTTCAATAAATCTGTTAAAAAATTGTTCAGTAGGTTTTTATAGATTCTTACCAACAATTACTTGATGAATTTGCTTTGGTGTCAAGATTAAGCTGCAATCATGTTTTTCATGGGGTGAGGATGGGTCTGATTTAAGTCCTTTGAGAACCTGTGAGAAATCACATTATTCCAAAATTAATTGTTCAATATTAGCAAAAGGTATTTTAAGAATTCTCATGGTATAATAAAATGTAAAATATTGCACATGCCTTTCTTCTCAAAGACTTTGTCTCCGTGGATGCTGTATTTCTGGTACTTAGCAATTGGTTACACTTGATCCGATGCTGTGCTGAAGATAACTCTTCTATTTCCGCTACTGAGAATGTGGGTGACTTTAGACCCGATGCTGGCTGTAATCCTATGTCTGTATCATTATATGAGTACATGTGTTTCCTAGTGAAATCATAATAATAATTAACTGAGGCTAGGTCTTTTAGAAAATACATCAGTAAATCGAAATATTCCCCACAGTACATGCTGTTACTGACCCACTCAGATCCACTGAAGCAGACGGAAGCACTAATCTGCATAAAATTGCCGTCTGTTAAGGGACCCCATTCTCAAACACCTACTCAAGGAAGCTATGCCCACCCTACCATACCCAAGGACAGCTCACAGTCAATGACTCAAGGCAGGAACAACAATATGGTATAATTTATGCTCAAAAGACCCTAGGTATCAGGCTGAGAGTAAACTTTATTTGAAACACATTATTTCTGAGTTCTCTCTTCTGCCCTCTCCTGCTTTCCTCATATTGTGCAGGTTTCTCCCAAAAGAACATTCTCCAAAAATCACATGTGCTGGAATTCCTGTCTCAGAATCTGCTTCTGGGGAAGCCCACCCAAGACATTCCCAAATCAGAAGTAAAAAAGGAAATAAATGCAGTTAAAGTAGTTCAATGTTTTGCTATTTTCATACATGAAAAGTCATTTAAATCACTAAAAAGAACCTAAAGAGTAAAGAAAAAAATTCTGGCTCTACAGGCACCATGCTCTGTTTCATACTGTTTGAGGAAGTGAACTTTACCTCTGTTCTTCTTTCTGCAGGTGCACATTTCTTAAATATTTAATGTATCCTGCATAATGCTTTTCATGTGCTTTCTTTTCTATTTTTTCAAATTTAGTATATGCAAAATCAGGATCCACATAGTTATATCTTGGAATCTTTGTGAAAATCGTCCTACAATATGAGCAAGACATGTTAATATTTAGGTGTATATATATATGCATTTATTCAATCAGTATTTACTGAGTGCCTCCTATGCCAGGAGTTGGGCACAGAATGGTGAACAGGACAGATTCTAGTCCTTTTATATACCAAGACATTATTACATGTAGAAATAGAATGATATCTAATTTTCTTCTTAACCTAATCACAGGAAATCCCTAAGGTCATTGGGAAGAAGTAGGACCTACCCCAAACCCACTCGTGGAGTATTAGTCAAGTAGGCAATTTGGGCAGTTCTAGATTACAGATGGAACTAGGTCTGAATCTGATTAGTGTTTCCTAATAGTTAATTACTTTTAGATCACTGTGATCAAAATCATAAAAGAATATATAGAATAATGAATCCTTTTGTTAAATCATGCTTTCTTAATATCTCAGAGCTTATGAAATAACCATCAGCAATAAATCTATACAGAGAAAAAAAATCCAAAGAAGAACTGCAAACTACTCTACATCTCACATTCACTCAACTAGTGCATGCACTTCCTTTCACCTACCACATATTTTCCATAAAAACAAAAAGTACAATTATTCACATCTTTTGGCCTTAGGCTACCTCAGTCTTCAGCAAATTTTATTAATCATTGAGATTCTCACCCTTAATAATTAACTCCTAAGTATAAACCTAGTAGTCATATACAGTCAAATGAAATTTAATCTAATATCTAATATTTCTTCCTGTTTTTGATAATTCCTCAGTGGTAACAGTAATACAGCTTGAACTGAGTTAAAGACTTTAAGAGAGTGAGGCAATAAGAGAGAAACAAATGCTTTGTTACTCAGATAGTTGTTGATATATTTAAATCTCCCTTCAGGCTCTGGGATCCTTAACCACCTTTAGAACCTAGAAATAATTCCTATATCTGAAGTCCCTCTCTCTGTAACAAGGAGAAAAGGAGGGACTTAATAAGAAGTAGTACAGGAGGTGCCTAAAGTGACACAGAGCTGGTTACTAACATATCTAAATGCTTATCAGCTCCTTAAAGAATAAACTTTAAGAAATACCTCTGCAACTCTGAGTAGGTGATTTTTTTTAAATGTGCAAAGTACAGACAACAAAAATTACTATGTAAATAAAGCATTTTTCCTCACTTATTTATTAAAAAAATTTTTACTGAATGCCTAATATAACACACTATTCTGAACACAAGACATATACTGCATTAAATAAAACTAGACAAAAATTCTTACCTTATTTTCTTCTCAAAAATTGAAAAGGTAAAAAGCATTAAAAAATAAAACAGCAATTATAATTACAACAACTTAATACACTATAAAATTTCATTACTTAAATGTTCATTACTATTTGTTAGCCAGAAAATAACTGGACTAAATTTTGTATTTCTATTAGCATGGAAAAGAGTAAATTGAGAAAAAAAATTATGGCCATGGGATGCTTACGTTAGCCTTCTTCAAAAAAATCCTGGCATTTTGAGATCATCTGATTAATACTTAGACAGGAACAAAATGTTAATGTTAAATTAACACATTATATCTCTATATAGATATATTTGTATAAGCATAAGGAATAATTGAAAATGATACATTTAAAAATTATTTCCAGCAGCTACCTCTGCAGGGTGGGATGAGTTTTCCTCTTTTTATACTGTATAATTATTTTAAATGGAGTCTGCATAATTTTTATGCGTGTGTGTTTTATGGTACTTGTCAAGTAAAAAAAGAGAGATAAAGACTGCTGTGGATGGAATCTGTAAAATAAAATCATAAAATAGACTACATAAAAACCCAGAATTTTCCAATTGTGGATAATAAAACAATTATGGACTAAAAAATCAAATGGTATTTTAAGAAAATGACTATAAAAGTAAGTGAACTTGAAGACTCACCAAAGGTAAAGAGACAAGTAGAGAAAGCCCAGGGACATGGTCAAGTTTAGACAGTTAAACAAGCAGGCAGAAAAGAAACCCAGTTCATCCTCAAATGTATAAAAACCATTCCTGAGCTAATGGCCCAAATAAAGATGTCAGGTTGACTGGGTTTATTCTCACTAAGCATTGACATGGTAGTAATTTCTTTGAAAATGGGGTAATTTTTAAATTGAGGCTTACTATCACTCATAGTCCTTATAATTGGGGAGGTTTTAGTTCACTTTGGTAAAGGTTATTGAAAATGTGACTTTGAGGGGACTGAACAAAGATGATAGCACAGGGATGAAGATAATGACAATGAACCAATGAAGACGAGAACAACTTGTTTATCACAGTTTAAAATTTTTAATCTTAGATAAATTCAGGCTCTCAGCCATAATTAATGAACATGACTACTCTGAGGACTGTATACATTTCCAAAAGTGATTATTTCTATTATTCTTCTCTACTTGTTAACAGCATATTTTAAGAATCATCTGGTAAACCATTCACAAGTCCTGGCAAGTACGCAATAGAGATGAGAGGTTAGATGATAGCATTCAGCAACCACTCCTCTGATGTACAAGAAAAAAAAAAAAGAGAGAGAAAATTAAATTTTGCTATTATTATTATTACCATCACTAATTTGTTACAGCAGGATCTGATAAGATCTCTGCATGTCATGCTGGTTATTGTATCTTACAAAATTTCAGGTATTTAATATAGCATATTACCTGAAATGTTTATGCTCTTCTCCAAACCGGATACTTGCAGCTCGGTCATTGGGAAAGGCTATCAGAGCATCCTTTATTAACTCCTTACTTGTGTTATGATTGTGAATGTGTGTCGTGGTTGATTGAAGCATTGCGACAGGTGCATGGTCCTTGTATTTTGCCAAGTCTTTCACCACAAACTGTCCCACAGGATTACTGATCAAAGGGGATATACCTTTTAGAGAATTGAATATTAAATGTAACTATGTTTTTTTTTCAATTTCCATGAATTAATTACTACACTAGACCACTGGTTCCAACTTAAAGCTAAATCCCTAAGCAAATTCAGAAAATATGAATAATTCATTTAATAAATGGATCTACATAAAACAATTTAGCAAAATAATGCATGCATAAGTAATAAAAATGCATGCAAAAAAACTAAAACATGGTAACTTGAAGGACTGGGTTGGCACACATGAAACTGCAATTTTTATACGTTAAAGAGAGTTGAATATCAACAATTTCATATGGTTCAATGTATAAGAGATAACTGAGAATTAGTTGAAACAGCAGCAACCAGAAAATCCATGGAATGGTCAAAACCAGTTTACATTATAGACTCAAACAAAGAAGTAAAAGAATAAAATATAAAAACCATTAAAATATTTAATAAATTTTATAGATCACTAAACCAGTGCTAGTCAAAGTGAGATCCTCAAAATGGCAGCATCAGCATCTACCGGAAACATGTTAGAAATACAAATCTTTGGGCTCCAACAAAGACCTACTTAATAATCAACGCTGGGACATAGGACAGTGATATGTTTTAACAGGCCTAGATGCACGCAAAAGTTGAGAACCATTAGATTAGACCACATTTGATATATACAGCTAAGCATTAGTATGTTAAGATAATCCTGTATTAACCAAAAATAGATAAATAAATGGTAAGCACCCCCAATAGCATACCAGGATTAATTTTCATCACAACTTTCTTGGTGGAAGGTTTGCAGACACTACTGAAATATAAACGTATCTGATGGAAAGGCTTCAGGGACGAAGACTGCAAATTTTCATCTGTCACTGAGCCAATAATCTCTATAAATTGCTTCACTTTAAAGACTCCAACTTGATGTGGAATGAATAAACATGCCACATTCTGAAAAAAGAAGAAAAGTGACCAATTGCTATAGGCTGAATGTTTGTGAACACCTAAAACTCATATTTTGTTTTTTGCCTTTTTTTTTGCCACACTGCACGGTACACGGGATCTTAGCTCCTCAACAAGGGATTGAACCCGCACCCCCTGAAGTGCAACTGTGGAGTCTCAACCACTGGACTGCCAGGGAAGTCCCTGAAACTCATGTTAAAAACTCATATGTTAATGCCCTATGGCAGGGGTCCCCAACCCCTGGGCCAGAGACCAGTACCAGTCCCAGTCCGGTCCATAGCCTGTTAGGAACCGGGCTGCACAGCAGGAAGTGAGCGGCGGGCAAGCAAGCGAAGCTTCATCTGTATTTACAGCTGTTCCTCATCACTCACATTACCGCCTGAACTCCACCTCCTGTCAGATCAGCAGCGGCATTTGATTCTCATAGGAGCCCGAATTCTACAGTAAACTGTGCATGCGAAGGATCTAGGTTGCAGGCTTCTTATGAGAATCTAATGCCTGATGATCTGAGGTGGAGCTGAGGCAGTGATGCTAGCACTGGGGAGCGGCTGCAGATACAGATTATCATTAGCAGAGAGGTTTCACTGCACAGAGACCATAAAAAATTAATTGCTTGCAGACTCATATCAAAACCCTATCAGTGAGTGGCAAGTAAAAACAAGCTCAGGGCTCCCACTGATTCTGCATTATGATGAGTTGTATAATTATTTCATTATATATTACAACATAATAATAATAGAAATAAAGTGCACAATGAATGTAATGCACTTGAATCATCCTGAAACCATCCTCCCCACCCTGATCTGTGGAAAAATTATCTTCCACGAAACCGGTCCCTGGTGCCAAAATGGTTGGGGACCGCTGCCCTATAGGATAGAATTAGGAGATCAGAGCCCTTGTTAAAGAGGGTCCACAGATCTCCCTAGCCCCTTCCACCATGGGAGGATACCACAAGAAGTCTGTGACCAGGAAGAGGGCCCACACCTGACCATGCTGGCACCCCAATCTGGGACGTCCAGCCTCCAGAACTGTTAGAAATAAATTTCTGTTGTTTATAAATTGTGCAGTCTATGGTATTTTCTTACAGCAGCCCAAATGGATTAAGAAAAACTATTGTACTGTTAGGACAAAATAAAAAGCAAATCAAAAAATATTGCTTATAAAACTTTAAGGAAAGCTAATTTATCGTGTTGATATGAAAGTCTTTAGAAATATCATATACAGAATTGACAAACCTTCAAGATACACATTACTGGAAAATTATCTAAGAAAAAATTAAGATTAATGGTACTGAAGCACTTCCAGAACGGCAGATTAAAGACCTCCAAATAGTTACTCATCCACAAACAGAAAGAGAACACTAGGAAAATTGTCAAAATCAACTTCTCGGATATTTGAAAATTACCTAAAATACTGCAAAAGTCCAAAGAGTATTTATTTTTTTTAAATGGCTGAATTCTAAACAAAGAACAGGCTTTGTGGCATTTTTACCTACTGTAATCACATCCTCTTATTCCAACTTCGTGCTCTCCTTGAAAAACAACAGCCTTGCAACTATGGTAACTGTGAAAATGATTAGCCTAGCAGCCATCGAGGGAGAATGGGTTTAAAACTCTCCGAAAACCCCATCCCCAGAGAAGTGCTCATATGTGTTCTGTCTGAAAGCTAGCTGAAAAGCCTAGTTTGAGAGCATGGCTTTAACTGACCTGATTCAGAGCTCACTCTGTGTGAACAGCTCTCTCCCTAGGGTTTTGCCACCCTCCCCTTGAAAAAGAATCAGCTGCAACTGTTGAACATCACAGCAACCTGAGATAGCATTAGCATTTAAGGCTAATAAGAAATAAGAGAAAAAACAAACAAAGCCAAAAATGTTCAGAGGGTATTAGAAAAGCTCTGACATATTCCTGGCAATCTAGATTGCCACACACATGTGCAAGAGAGTGTATATCCCCAGAAAAGATTTGAGAAAGATCTAATCTGTCACCTCTGGCTGACATTGGGACTCGGTACAAGGAGGACCTGAAGCCAGAAAGAGTTGTAAACTACCTGGTAGAACACTGAAGTCATGGCCCACCCAACACATTTATACAGAGGTACTCAGCAAAGGCTGTGAGACATATGGAATCAAGGAATTTAAGGGAGTCTCTGCCCAATCAATAGCTGACCACTAAATTAATTGAGCAACACTTGATTGTCTGCACACAGCAAAGAAAACAACCTTTTCAGAATTAGTCTAGAAAGTCACTAAACAAATAAAACAACAACAAAGAGCAAAAATCCTATGGAAGATCTGATTTTCAGAGTTCTCAAATTATATTATTTAAAATGCTCAGTTTTCAACAAAAACTTACTGGACACTCAAAGAACTAGGAAGTTACGGCCAATACACAAGAGAGAGGCAATAAACAGAAACTGTCCCTGAGGAAAAACAACTGTTGGACCTATTAAACAAAGACAGTAAGTACAGTACTATAAATATGTTCAAAGGACTGAAGAAAAACATGTCTAAAGACTTAAAGGAAACATAAGAACAACATCTCACAAAATGGAGCATATCAATAAAGTACAGAAATTGTTAAAAAGAACAAATAAAGGCAAGGGAATGTAGGAAACTCACAAGTATGTGGAAATTAAACAATACACTCCTAAGCAACTAATGGGTCAAAGAAGAAGTCTCAAAGGAAATTAGAAAATACTCTGAGATGAAGAAAAACTAAAACTCAACATACCAAAACTTATGGAATGCAGCAAAAGCACTGATTAGAAGTAAATTTATAGCAGTAAGCACCTATATTAAAAAAGACAAAGGCCTTTGTCATGTAATACATGAAATAGAGAATAGAAAATCAACAAACCTGAAAGTATGTCTTTGAAATGATTAATGATATTGAAAAAAAACTTGAGCTAGACAAACCAAGCCAACAACAACAACAATAAAAACTCAATTTCTTAAAATCAGGAATAAAAGAGAGGACATCTTTACCAACTCTACATCAATAAAAAGGAGTATGAAGGAATACAATGAACAATCATATGCCAACCAATTAGATAACCTATATGACATGGACAAATCCTCAGAAAGACACAAACTTCTGAAAATGGTTCTAGAAGAAACAGAAAATCTGAATAGCCTAGGATAACAAGTAAAGAGATTAAAGTAGGAATTTTTAAACTTCTGACAAAGAGAAGTCCAGAACCAGATGGCTTTGATGAATTTTACTGAACATTTAAAGAATTAGCACCAATTCTACAAAAACTACTCCAAAAATTAAAGGGAACACTTTCCAAATCCTTCCATACCAGTTTTAGTCTAATGTAAAAAGTAAAGACATTCAAGAAAATAAAACTACAGACTAATGTCCTTTATGAATATATATGCAAAACTCTACCAAATATTATCAAATTGAATTCAGCAACACATACAAAGGATTATCCACACTATATACAACTATGTAAAACTCCTTTGCCATGTAACATCGCATATTCGGTCTTGGGAAGAATTTTTTGGATTAGACTTCAAAAGCACATACAACAAAAGTAAAAAATAGACAAGACTGCATCAAACTAAAAACCTTCTGTTGAGCAAAAGAAACAGTCAACATAGTGAAGAGACAGCCTACAGAATGGGAAAAATACTTGTGAACCATCTAACTGATACAGGGTTAATATGCAAAATATATAAGGAGCTCATACAAATCAAAAGCAAACTAATAACCTGGTTAAAAAAATGGGCAGGTGCAGCGGAAACTAGGTGGCAGGTAGGGAGTGAGCAGCTCCGCGTCGCCACTGCACCTACAGTGTGCCTCGGTAGTGGTGAGTCCTGGTACAAGACCACAGTTTGATAAGCCGTCTCCTACTGCATTAAGGATGGCCAACCTCAGCATGAGATAGACCTCTGGACATTGATGGCTTAAAGTCTTTCTATAAAAATCTACTACTGTACAGATCTTCAAGATGGCAGAAGAGTAAGAGGTGGAGATCACCCTCTGCCCCACAAATACATCAGAAATACATCTACATGTGGAACAGCTCCTACAGAACACCTACTGAACACTGGCAGAAGACCTCAGACCTCCCAAAAGGCAAGAAACTCCCCACGTACCTGGGTAAGGCAAAAGAAAAAAGGAATAAACAGAGACAAAAGGATAGGGACGGGACCTGCACCAGTGGGAGGGAGCTGTGAAGGAGGAAAGGTTTCCACACACTAGTAAGCCCCTTCGCGAGTGGAGACTGCGGGGGGTGGAGGGGGGAAGCTTCGGAGCCGAGGAGGAGAGCACAGCAACAGCGGTGCGGAGGGCAAAGCGGGGAAATTCCCGCACAGAGGATCGGTACCGACCACTCACCAGGCCGAGAGGCTTACGCACCGGGGCAGGCAGGGGCTGAGAGCTGAGGCTCGGGCTTCAGAGGTCGGATCCCTGGGAGAGGACTGGGGTGGGGAGCGTGAACACAGCCTGAAGGGGGCTAGTGCGCCACGGCTAGCCCAGAGGGAGTCCGGGAAAAACTCTGGAGCTGCCGAAGAGGCAAGAGACTTTTTCTTGCCTCTTTGCTTCCTGGTGCGCGAGGAGAGGGGATTAAGAGCACTGCTTAAAGGAGCTCCAGAGACAGGCTAACAGCGCGGACCCCAGAGACGGGCATGAGACGCTAAGGCCACTGCTGCTGCCAACAAGAAGCCTGTCTGCAAGCACAGCTCACTCTCCACACCTCCCCGCCCGGGAGCCTGTGCAGCCCACCACTGCCAGGGTCCCGTAATCCAGAGACAACTTACCCGGAAGAACACACGATGCGCCTCAGGCTGGTGCAACGTCATGCCAGCCTCTCCCGCCACAGGCTTGCCCAGCACTCCGTACCCCTCCCTGCCCCCGGCCTGAGTGAGCCAGAGCCCCCAAATCACCTGCTCCTTTAACCCCGTCCTGTCTGAGTGAAGAAGAGACGCCCTCCGGCGACCTACACACAGAGGCAGGGCCAAATCCAAAGCTGAGCCCCTGGGA